TATATATATATATATATATATATATATATATATATATATATATATATATATATACTCTTGCATGGTAGTCAAAAAGAGTTTCCCATAAACTAGTTTTAAAGAGCGCGTTAATAAACCAGACCAGAAAAAGTTTAATGACTTTTATTTTATTTTTTTTAAATGGTAGACTGCCTGCCCAAACCAAACCCTCAGTCGATGTAGCAGCACTCCCTTGCGAGTCAGGCTATTTATCAGTCGATGTAGCAGCACTCCCTTGCAAGTCAGGCTATTTGTCAGTCGATGTAGCAGCACTCCGTTGCGAGTCAGGCTATAAGATAGTCGATGTAGAAACACTCCCCTGTTGCAACAGGCTATAAGATAGTCGATGTAGCAACATTTACGCATATTTTAAAAATGGTTTTTAATAAAACAAAAACAAATACACCACTAATTAAAAAAAACTTTCGAGTCGTTTTTATTGTGGTTTTTTAAAAAAATTTTAAAAAACAATAAAATTTTATGATCTTCCGCATATATATGCATATATATATACATATATATATATATATATATATATATATATATATATATATATATATATATATATATATATATATATATATATATATATATATATGTAAGTAGCGCAATAAATATTATTATTATTACTAGTGCGCATAGTTACGCATTGTTACGCCTATTGTTCGTTTTGTTAATTACGGTTCTGTATTTTGTAAAATACACTATTTCTTTGTTTTGAAGTTGTTTCTAGACTTCTCTAAGCGCGGTTGTATATTCCACGCGGTCTTTCGAGTAAAATCAGCAAGCAAATTGGAGCTGATACTTATTTTCAAGAAGAATTTATGTAGTTCATTTTTTAAAATAAAAATTTAAGTAATTGTTAGTTTGTTGTTTCTTATTTTTATTTTTTCTAACTTTTATAGCCTGTTTTTATTTTTTAGAAGAAGTTGCAAAGTGCTATTACCAGTGCATATACACTGGTAATAAACCGGTGAAAATTGCTAATACCAGTGAACCAATCATATTACCTTATTTTAGACATGTGACACGCGCGTATTTTAACTGAAAATAAAGAAATTGCCATGGCAAAATTATTTGTTAATACTTGCTTTTTAAAAATGGTTGCAAGCCTAAAGTTAGGAGATTTTCTTTCCCTGATTTTCAAAGTTGTATAAATGCAGTCAATAAGTTCGCTTTAACAAATTATCATCCATTAAGAATAGATAGTAAAGAAACTGTTGCTAGTCACAATAAAAAGTTAATTGCTGATAAAGCTATTGTCACAACAGAAGAGATATTCGCATGCAGGTTTTCTTTTTTTACTTGTTTTTTTTTTTAGATTGATTTTATCGATATAATGCCAGTCAAGAAAACCATTAAGTTAAATATGAATAGATTTTATTATTTAATACAGTTTTTTAATGTTTACGAAATATAAATTTTTGTCTATTGCCTTAAATTTATTGATTCACAGCAAAAATCTCTGAACTAATTTATTAATAATAGTATTGAATAGAGGAATAAATTACAACAATTGCCTACTCTATTTATTAAATTTTTCTAGAAAGACTGTACTTTATATTTATTTAAATTGGCAGGGCATTTTTTTAAATTTTAATAATTCATCTTTAGTAAAGTTACATTTTGAATGGTATTACATTGTGAGTAAAGAATAAACATCTAAAAATTATTATAGTTTTTCACAGTAATGTAATTTAAAAAAATTGAAAAGTTTACTTAATGAAATAACCAATTGCATTTATTATAATTCTTGTGTATTTTATTACGACATTTCTAAATCATTAAAGTCCATAGTCGTTGCCCAAAGGAGATATTATCTCTAGTTCCATTAAACAAAACTTTGCTTGACTCATCATTTACTAAAGTCTCATCCTTTTACTGTATTTGTTTCTGCATTTTATAAAAAAATTTGTATCTAGGTTTTTCCTCCTCTTTGGAACTCTATTTGTTCCCATCTTTATGTTTTCCTGACTCAAACAACGTAAAGATTTTAATTTGAGTTCTCTGTCAACCATTTCCTTGCTCTTTAATTTTTTGTTTTCTAATAATTCTTAACTTATTATTGGTTTTTTAACCGTTTGCGTAGTATTTGTTAATGTTTAACTAACTGATTAATTGGAATTTACATTTTGTCAACAACAACAAAAAAAATACCATCCTCAGATTTGATATGATCCTCAGATTCGATATAATGATTATGCTAATGACCGTAACTGTCCATTGTTTATGGTGGTGAAAGCAAGGATTAAAATATGAATCAGATAGCAACCAAAAACTAATAGAACATTTAAATGTGTTTTAGTAAATGTAAATGGTTCACTGAACAAAATAACAGAGGTGGAACAATTTGTTAGGGATTTTAAACCTGAAATATTTGTTGTAGTTGAAACAAAGATTTATTAACACTTAAAAAAGGATCAATACAATAAAGAATTTAAAATAAATGGATATAACGAAATAAGCGTATTATCATCCAGTGTTCATCCAAGTAGATGTATAAAAACGATATAAAAGATCGGAGATGATATAAAAATGATGAATTCGGAAGTAGATATCAAAGACACAGAATAGTGGTTAATAAAAACAACAATGAAATATGTTAACAGGTCTATTTGTGTGATATATGTATATAGGTCTCCTCATCAAAACTTGATAAACGTATTTATTAATTTCTATGGATCATATATAAGTAATGTAAGCAGTAAGTACAAAAAAGTTATTGTTATGGGAGATTTCAACATTGACATTCTAAAAAAAATAACTTCTTAAAAAAATGCGAAATAGTTAACAAGAATCTTAGTCTAAAGATCATAAACAGTCATAGTATACCAACTCTTGTGTACCCATAAGAATTACTGAACATACAAGTACCTGTGTTGATCAAATTATTTTCAAACTAAATATGATATAGAAAGTGACAATTCTGTACAGCCAAAAATGTCAGATCATGAGGTAGTAAGTGTCAAACATAAATTTGATATTAAAGTTAAGAAATATGACAATGTGTTAGTAAAATATAAAACTATTAAACTGTATGAAAACATAAATTACAATAAACTAAACAAGAAAATTATGATTAGAAATAAAATCAAAATAAATGATAAAGATATAAGTAACTAAATGTTAACGAAATAGTAAATATAATGATTTATAACATTCAAGAGAAAGTCAAAATTGAAATTAAAACAAAAATGATAATAAACAATAGAACACCATACTCTAACTGGTTAAATAATCCTAGTATTATCAACATATCAAAACAAGTAAACTATGAATAAAGAAAATTCTTAATAATGAAGAAAGAAGGTAACACTATGTGTCAAACACAATATGGAATTGCAAAAAATGCAGAAACTTAAAAACTTCCTTAATAAGAAAATTAAAAAAAAAATTATAAGAATAAAGTGGATGTGGTGAAAGGTGATAGTAAAACCATGTGGAAAGTATTATGAAATATTACTAATACATCAGATAATAGTAAATGTGTATAGAAAAATATTAAATTAAAAGCCAAAAGTGATAAGTCAATAAGTACAATGAACTATTGGTTTTTTAACCGTTTGTGTAGTATTTGTTAATGTTTAACTAACTGATTAATTCGAATTTGACATTGTTGACATTTTGTCAACAAAAAAATTTCTATACTTATAAAGTGATTTCAATAATTTTGCCGCTAATAAATTGTTAATAAGAATATTTTTGTAAATTGTTTCTAATGTGCTTTTTAGGTCTAGCAAAAGTTATATTACAAATTATTCAATTATTATTTAATTGTGTATACAAACTGTTACTTAAAGATGTTCTCTATTTATATCGTATTATTTGGATGGCTTTTTGGATTCAGTTAACCTATTTTGTATATATGAAAGCCAAATTATTTATTTAAAATAACATTGAAGTTGATTTTTATTATTATTATTGCTTCCTCTCCCTATAATTTTATGAATACTATAATTAATAAGATTTTTTTAAATAATATTTAACAAAAGTCAACAGGAAAAAAACCAAATTTGTCTTTTAACTTTGTTACTTTTTTGTTTTGTGACATCTGGACAACCCTGTGCAAGGGCAGAAACAAGGACGATAAAACAATGACGGTGATGGCACAAGTCTGCTATCTCTTTTGTTGTTCCTGTATGGTTGACAAGTACAGGTATTTGAAGTGCTGATGATTATGTTATCGTTGATGCTGTTGTTAGTGATTATGTTGGTGGTGATCATGATTGTAATAATTTTTTAAATTGATTTTGTTATTTAGGTGGGTTTGCAAACATTTTGGTCAACCTAGAAAAAGAGATGGTGTGACTGGAAAAAGAAATCACCAATGAGTACTTCCTTGTGGCTGTCAGGTATGGTTTTACATATAATAATGAATATTAATTCAATTCCATAATTGAATTAATTCAATTCCATAATTAGAATTGAATTAATTCCATTAATTCAATTCCAAATTTCACTTTGCTAACATTTTAATCAAAATAAAAAAAAAATTAATTGTACTGAAAGATATCTTTAACTATCCAGTAATTATTGATTATTAATGGCCTATTTTAATATACATTTGTTTAATATACAGGTGGCATTTTATATTGCATACAATTCTGCATTACCTGAATATATGGTGCGCAACATCAATCTTGAACATAACCATCCAATTGGTGCTGAAGAATTTCAACTCTACTCAACATCTAGAAAACCTACAAAAAAAATTCTTGAAGAAACTGAGGTTCTTCTTCATCACGGCGCAAATCCAACTCTTGTTGCCAACTACTTGTTAGATAAAAAACTAATGGTAAAGCAGAAAGATATATATAATATAAAGCAGAAAATGAAGTTTCGAGGTAAATAAATTTTAATTTGAAAAGAACTCAATACTAAATTGAAATTAATAATTTTTATGTTATAATAGTTCTGCTGTTGATGAAATCAGAGATGTTTTGACTGTTTTGATTTCTTTGGATAGAGTAATATTCTCAAAAATATTGCACTCTGATTTTGATCAGCGTCTCAAAACTAGAAAAGATGTTCCGGATGCTCTAAAAGAGTATTCTGATAAAGTGTCATCTTTTTGTTTGAATTTAATTGTTGAACAATATTTTCTAATGAAAAAAAATGAATATGATGTAAAAGAGGTAGGTTACTAGTATAATACTTAATTGATATAAACTGATGAGAGCAATTTACATATATAGCAATATAAATTTTATGTCAATACAGGATTTGGAAAATAGGTTTCTTGTCAAAAACACCCATAGCGAGTATAATGTTTTTAAAAATGCTTTTAATTGCGGGTTTTCAACTGGATTTGGACTTCTGTGTCGACATATCATGTGTGTGCTGCAGTTTTTGCAAAAATCTATATTTCACTTGGAACTTGTAAATAAAAGGTTACTAATTCACAAGCAATTTTATGCCATAGTAGAAATAACAATAAATAACAATAAATGTTTTATATTAGACTGTGGGATTACCCCAGAAAAATTGCAATTTTGTTTGTTTTTTGGCATCTGTTTATATAAGATTTTTTTTAATCATTATTATATTTAGAAACCAAAAATAAGTGAATAACTCTTTTTTTTTTTTTTAGCTAAGTAGTCATTTGGGGCTATGAAATGGTTAAACTCCAATTATGGTCATATTAAAATAGTAAATCTTTAATAATATAAATTGGCTCATAACATGTTTATGGGATGAGAAATTTGAAGTTGTTATATTGAAGCCAAATTTAAAATATTGCCTTGAAATTTAGGGTTAAATAAAATACCCAAGTATGGTAAGACTAATAAAAAGGTTGTATTAACATGAAAATACATGACCTATTTTCATTATGAGGGTTGTAGAATTTTGTCAAGTTTAAAAAATTTACTCACTACTCAAATATGCTTAATATTTAAAGCTATTGCTGTCAATGAGAATTTTTATTAGTTTTGATTGATGCTTTTATAACTATTCATATATTAATATTATGTACTTATATATATATATATATATATATATATATATATATATATATATATATATATATATATATATATATATATATATATATATATATATATATATATATAAGTAGTTATAAAAGGAGAGTTTAGGGACATTTTTCATTTTCAACCATATTTTCAATCATATATTTAATTAAATATATGATTCATTATCATTCATAGTGTGTATAAATTATATAACTAAGAAATAAATTTTTAGGTCACTTCGTGATCAATGCTAAATCATTTTTTTAAGATTTAAAAATTAGTATCAATTTTTTTTCTATTGCGTGACGTCACAGGTCACATGATATTTAGATTGATCTTATGCTCTGCTCAGTGCGCATGCGCTTAATTTTTGTTTATTTGCTTGTAGATGCTGTAGAATATGAAGAAGCTGTTACAGTAGTATTTGTATTAGCATTGCCAGAAGTAGCTGATACGCATATATTCTCATTTACATTTGAGTTGTTCATTTTTTATATATTTAATATAATTATTTATAAACTTTTCAATTCTGTATTATCAACCCATGAGTTAAAAGTATCAGGATACCCATACCACTTTACAAATGATTTATTTCCTTGTTTACGAATAACCTTTTCAATTCTAAATATCTCTTGACTTGTTTTTTGAAGTTCTTGTTCATAAAAAGTACCTTGTATTTCTTCATCATTGTAATCAGTTATTTTATAAGTAGGTGGATCTGTGTACTGAACTTGTGATACTGTGAATACTTCTTCAGTCCATCTTGGTGTATATCCTTTTTCAAACGCTCCTTTCTTTTTAATTATTCTCACTTTATCACCTATTGAAAACTTAGGTTGAATAGGATTTGATTTTACTTTACCATATAGATTAAACCAAATTTTATTTTCATTCTTTTTATCGCTTGCTTCAGCTGGAGTCATTTTAATTGAAGAATGCTTTGTGTTGTTGTATTGATTTACCATTTCATCTAAGACATCAATGTATTTTCTCGTAGAATTAGCTGAAAAGTATTTGAACATTTTTTCTTTCATTGTTCTATTCCATCGTTCAACAACGCAACTTTTTTCTTCATTTTCAGTTGAATAGAGATGAACTCCTAATGCTTTAACGTGTTTGTTATAAAATTCCAAACCTTTATCAACCCATAATTTATCGCATTTCCTAATTTTAAAGATTTTATTGAATGCATTAGCAACTTCAACTCCAGTTTTACTTTTCAGTGGAATTATCCATCCATACTTTGAAAATATATCAATTACCATTAATAAGTATTTTATACCATTATTAAATTTAGAAAAAGTTTGCATGTCAACTAAATCAGCAGTCCATATTTCATCAATACCATTTGCAAATACTTTTCTTTTTCTAAAATGTTTTATAACAGGTTTATGAAGTTCATTTGCAAGTTCATCAGTCCATTTCACGTCGTTTGCTTTTTTCCTGTGCGCTGGTAGTTTTTTTGACATAATTCTTTAATACTCATTGGTTCTTTATTTCCCATACCAAACCTTACTTTAGCAGATATAATAGGTTTTATAATCTTTCTTTCTAATTTTTCACGAGGTGTAGGATTAGGTATAGCATCCATTTGTTCAAGCATCATTTTATCAGCTAAATTTCTATGTTCTTTATCTGTAAAATGTTTATAAGCAAGATCATGAATATAAGCTGCTTTATCAACTCTATCTACAGGCATACTCCATTCTTTAGGCATCTCAGTAGAAGTTAATCTTTCATCTAAATTAGTACCAGGTCCTGCAAAGTTCATACCTGGTATATGCATTTCACCTGGAAACTTTTGCAAAGGTAATTTTCTATTACTTGTGAATTTATTAATTGATTCTACCAAGTCACCTCCTTTTTTAGCTCCTTCAGATCTTGTTTTTCCTTTTGTAAATTGAGTTTTTGTTGTTCCACATAGTGCACAATTTCCACGAAGCATATTTCTATTGTTTTTACTTACAACATGCTGTAAGTTGAGTGTATCTGTTTTGTTTCTACATTTAACGCAATACATTTTTTATTACTTTATTTTTATTTAATTTAAAAAAATTATTTATATAAAAAAATGGAAGTATTAGATTTGTCATATAATGTAAATAAAAATAATCGTCATAATAATGAGTTATTACCAAGAAGTATAAGAGGACTTATAGTTGGGAAGTCTGGTTGTGGAAAAACAAATTTATTATTAAATTTACTTATAAGACCTGATTGGTTGGACTATAATAATTTACAAGTTTTTGGAAAATCTCTTTTTCAACCTGAATACAAAATATTAAAAAGTTCTTTTGAAAAAAAAGTACCAAAAGAAGATATTTTTAAAATATTTAAGTTACAAGATAAAATAGATAAAATGGATATCAGTCCTGATCTTGTAATCGAAGTTCATTCAAAAAATTTAAAAAATAAAATAGATATGGAGTGTCAGTTTTATGAAACAGCAGATGATGTACCAGAACCTGAAGATCTTGATCTTACTAAAAATAATTTAATGATATTCGATGATTTACAATTAACAAAGCAAAACAAGTGTGAAAAGTACTATATAAGAGGAAGGCATAGTAATGTAGATTGTTTCTATTTAGCGCAAAATTATTTTATGCTACCAAGGAAAACAATAAGAGAAAATGCAAATTTTATATGCTTGTTTAAACAAGATTCAAAAAATGTAAATCATATTTATAATGACCATGTTTCAAATGATATGTCAAAAGAAGAGTTTAAAAACTTTTGTTAAATAGTTTGGTCAAAACCACATAAATTTATTGTTATTGATTTATCATCAGATGTGAAAAATGGAAAATATAGAAATGGTTTTGATCGTTTTTATTTTCCTTTATCTGTTTTAAATGGTAGATCATGAAAGGATCCAACGAAGTCTTGGTTCTTTCAGAACCTATGCTAAATGAAATATATATTTTCATAAATATATATTTATATCTAGATCCTTTCAGAACCTAAAGAATCCAACCTAATAATGGGATATTTTTAAATGGTGAATTTTCACCTAATATTAAACCTTTTCCTACTTTTTTATATTGTTTATCGTTTCCAGTTCCTTTTCCATAATAGTAGTAATACCCATTTCCTAAATATCTTCCTTTTTTCCATTCATCTATTAGTAATCCTTTTGCTACTTTTCTAGCTTTAATAGATCTTTTATTATCTTTAATATACAAAACATCTTTTCCAGCAATTTTATTAACTATAGTGTTTCCAACAGCTGCAGCTGTTCCAGCTAATAATGCTGTTGCAACAGTAGGAACAGCTGCAGCTAAAAAACTTCCAGCTAATCCTAGTAAAGGTATAAATCCACCTTCCACTTTAGAATTATGCACGAGATTTTCTTCATTTAATTCAATTGTTATACCTTTTTTATTTTTAAATGCATTGACTACTTTCTCTAATTGTTTATGTGTAAGAGCTACTACATCTTTAGCATTTTTATCACTTAGATTTTGAAAAGTTAATTTTATAGTAATTTTTTTTGAATCATTCTCAAGTTCTTTCTTGATTTTCTTCTTTTGATAATCTGAAAGTTTAAATTTAATATTTTTATAATCTGTCATTTTTTTATATATACACAATTTTTTTAAATCTCTTTTGAGATTCATACTTCGTTTGGTCTTTCAGGCCTAAGAAATAATCTATTTTTTATTTTTTAAAATGTTTATCAATTCTTTTAGAAGTGATACTTGTTCTTTTAAAATAGATTCTTGCTCGCATTTAGAAGTTCGTTCTCTTATATGAAATTTCATTGTTATTCTTTCTCCTTGCACATCAATTGGATTTTCATCTTGATCAATTAACGAAGTTTCCATATCACGAATATCTCCTCTTAGAGATATAGGTAAGTAAATGGGAACATTGGGTTTTTCTACAAGTTTAGCTCCAGGAGCTACAGAGGGGTAAAACGTATAAATAATATTGCTAGGTGAATTATCTAAATAAGATCCTGATATAATACTATTTTTTACATGTATAGTATTAATATGATTTATATCTAATACTTTTACAGATTCATAAACACCTGCAGTATATATTTTGCTTTCAAAACCTAAAAGATTTCTGATTGAATTTTCAATTGTAAAATCAACTGCAAAATTTGTTTCAATACCCATTGTAACTTTAAATGTTGTTGTACTTCCTACAAAAGT